CAAGGAATTATTAATCGTGCACTACGTACAAATGATTTATATGTTTTATGTTCAATGAATCGATTTATTAAAGATATGAATTTAACACTTTTACAATTGTATGATAAACGGAAACCATCAAATGAACCATTGATTCTTTATTTTGGTCAAGTATTATCTGATTATGATTTTGAAACAATAAGACAAAATCGTGGTGGATTATTATCGGTTGATCAATTTATATCGACAAATCCTGATATGAATGTTGCAGTTTTATTTATTAAACAACAAAATTTTTCAAAATCAAATACAAACAGAATTCGCGTACTTTTTCGTATTCATATTGATCAAAAAGTTCAATCAATTGTTCCATATGCAAATATTGGTGCTATTAGTGATTTTGTACATATGCAAGAATATCTTATATCAATGTCAAGTGTATTTCGAATTGATAAAGTTGAATTAACTGATACTTCATCTATATGGTTAGTACAATTAACATTAATCGATAAAAATGATATACAATATAATAATATCGTACAAGATATAGAAAATAAACAATCAGATGATATGAATTTATCTGAATTAGGTTATACGGTTAAAGATCGATTATCTGAATTTAAATCAACTAATAATTTATTTAAACAAGCATTACAAACGCAAAAAGAAGAATATCGAACAATTATTTTACATTATAATATGGCAGTTATATATGATGCTATAAATGAACATGAAAATTCCGTCGAAGAATATCGATGTGTATTAACAATGGCACGAAATTCTATACAAGCATGTGCTAACGGCGATGATTTATGTTTAGTACCAGTATTTTCAAATATGGCTTTAACTTTTCAACAAGCAAATAAATTTAATGAAGCATTAACTTATGCATTTCGTGCGTTACGTATTATTACACATTCTCAAGTTAAATCAACATCAAATAAAGAACTTGAATCTTCATGTTATTTTATTCTTGGATCCATACATGATCGTGAAGGAAAAACTTCTGAAGCGCAAACTTTTTATAAAAAAGCGCTCAGTATTCGACAAGAATATTTACCATTAGGCCATTCAGATATAACTGTTTTACAAAGACTTATTACTCTACTTTAAATCAAACGAAATGATTTGGATGAAATCTGATTAGTTTTTCCTCAAACGAGTCTATATATGTTCAACTCGAAAAATCTGATGGAACTTGATTTGTTTCATAACAATGAAATTTTTTGTTTTCTAATATGGTATTGTTTGTATTGTAAAATTCTTATGTAGTTATTAATAAATGTGTCTTAATAAGAGAATCTGAAAATATATTTTAGAAATTTATCAAGTCAAGTATAGGATAATTCAGACATACAATTATCTTACTAAAAAACTGACATATGTACTTCTCGTGACAGATTTTCTTTCTGAAGAATTTTTTTCTTCTTCACTCATGATGATTAGAGTCTAGTTACGTACCAGTTAATAGAATGTGAATAATTCTACCTACACAATGACTGGAAATATGAGTGTGTACTTGGGCTTGGTTGAGATAAAATGTCAGATGACGCACAGACTCAGGCTATAGTACCGACTTTTTAACAGTTGATTTATTTGTAACCATAAGTTTACAATAAGTAGTTATATTTCTTTAATTGAGACCTTTTATCAACAATAAATATACAATATGTTTTGCAGAATATCCTCTTTGTAGTAAATATCTTTTGAGCTTTTTCAAAGTATTCAATATAGAAGAAAATAAAGTTATAATCTTTTCGATCATTTGCAATAAACTGAACAAGATATAGCAGTTTGTAGAACTATTCACACAGTGTATACAACGATGGGCAGTTCGCTTGTAACCATCATGATTGAAGAAAAGAATTTTTTAATGAGATAACCGCAGGCGCTAGTAGTCTCATACTTGAGAGAAATCTACTTGACTTAATCATTTTATATATATTTCAATGAAACTTCCACGATACATTTGAGAACTCGTTACTGGCTAGACTTTATAAATAATTTATTTGAAAAAGTATGTTGTTGTTGTTATATATAGAATGAATTTATTCTTCAAAATTTAAATATTAAAACCAAGTTGATTAAGTAAATTTTTAAATCTTCAGCAAAAGAAAAAAGCCTGGTATCATAATATGAAATATTTCAATTAAAACAGACTAGAATCATGATTATAAAAAAAGAACATTTAAATAAGAGCAAATTTTAATTGGAGATATTTTTAACTGAATAAATCCACATGACTTTGTCTATTTAGGTCTTTTCAAGCATAATAGTTAATCCTTATCGTAAAAATAATTAGAGTTTATTGAGTGTAGAAGCTTATTAATCTATCTATCGTCTATAAAAAGTATTAAAATCGATGAAAGATTTATTCTAAAATATATTATAATTAGTTTTCAGATACTGTTATTTTCTTTTCTGAAATCATCTATGCGAATCTTTTTTCCAATTAATTTTTGTCCGTGATTAAAATTCTCAATCTATATCTTAGGTTTATTATTATCTAAATGCTAAATTGATGATACACTCAATTTATTCTCTTTTAACATACATCACGCAAACATGATTTAATGTTATTATTAGACTATGTATTATGGTACACCCACAATCGAATATAATCTTATTAGATCTCAATTTCTTCTCCAGTTCTTTTTATTATATGTCATATGAAATTTTTGTATTGATAACAATTCATTAACGTCATTTGTATTCAATAGTTTTATATATTCGATATTAAGAAAATGCTCTAAATGATTAAATATAGTTAGACAGAAATTCATTCGATTAGATGTAAGTTGAGCTTGTATAAAAAAGAAATTTGATACTAAATCTAATTAATTTTTATGCACTAAATTGTTCCGGTACAAATCAATTCCGATTAGATTTTTTCTTTTCTAAACAAAATATTTTCTTAATATGATAATTATACGGAAACTCATTAAATATTTAAGATTTATTATTAAAATGGCATGCAAATATAAAACTTCATTTTGTATCCTAGTGCCAAGAAAATAAAAAAAAAATATTCAAGCTCATTCAGTCTTTATTTTTATCAAAACTGTTCTGATCATTATATATAATTGTCTTTTTGTTTCTTTTATTATACCTGTGAGAAAGAAAATGGTGTAATAAATAATTTTTTTATCCGAATCGTAAAAATTCGCCTTTTCGACTAAAACGAAGAAATTCGTTGTTTGATGGTGATTGTGATCGTCGGCCAAAACGAAGAAATGTTGCCCCATTAGGATTAGCACGACCAAATCGAAGAAATGTTGGATTTGATCGACCAAAACGAAGAAATGATCCTGATGGTGATACTTGTCGACCAAAACGGAGAAATGATCCTGATGGTGATACTTGTCGACCGAATCTTAGAAATGATGTCGAACGGCGCATATAATCATTATCTTCATTACTTTCACTACTGCTGGAGGATTCATCTTCATTATTATATGCATATGCGGATTGAAGATATAAATTTAAACGATCACTTGGAGATACATTTTCTAAATCTATTAATAAAAAATAAAAACAATTTCTAATATCAAAATAGTGTAATATATATATACATACCACTTGATGCTCTTGTTACGAATTGTATGCATATAAGTGCTGATAGAATAGTAAATAAATACATTATACTCGATGAATGATGGAAAAAGGACATCTGAATAGAATAGTTAAAAGAAAAATATTTGTTCTTTATTTATTTCTCTATTATTTATATATATAAGTTCTATAGCGAGGGAAGAGAAAAAAAGTCTTTATTGAACTAAAGTCATTTTTTATTTTAATATAAACATAGTCGAGTACTTATAATTATATAGGACTGCGTAGGCGGTATTTCACTTATAAAGAATAATTCGTTAGAAGGTAAAATTACATAAAAAACCGATAGGGAAAAAAAATAAGAGGTTACTACCAATGTGTGCATAGTAAAAGCAGTAATTATCATTACATTTCTTCTTTTTTTTCATTTAATAATTATACCATACTATAGATCAAATAATGTTCATCGCAACTTTTATGTTTTGCTATAAAGTAATTTGAATAATGCTTTCTCTTCTTTCTAGTCTCGATTACCTGTCCATTTTATTAATGAATGATATAAATACTATTTTAGAACTATTTATAGCTAAGTTTTTTTCTTTCAAGAATAAATATACATCTTGAAATTCTATTGTGTATGCATGACTGATATTTGAGAGAAGATATCATCTTGAATATAAATAACTCAATATGTAGATATTTTGAGTACGTTAATCTGGAAGATCTTTTCAACTATGAGGAAATAGAGTCGTTATAATACTTTCATAGAAAAATACTTGTAATATTTCAACTATAAATAATGTACTCCTTTTTATTAATAGAATGTCTTTCTGACTTATATACTTCAATTACAGGCATATGCTTATATAAGAATAATTTTAATTGAAAAAAACAAGAGAAAGTTCAAGTACTTTTGTTTTTCTGGTCATATGCATCATATTCGATTTTTTTTGTTGTTTATTATTTATATATAAACAAATCAAATTAATTGATAATTTTCTAATTAAATGTTTTTTTTTGTATATAATATATATAATGAGAATAAGATCAAGCTTTTCTGTTTATTATCTTATTTCATGTTTCTAATCTTTATGCAATAATAATGATGAGTCTAATTTTCTAATCTACTGTCTGGAGTATATCTCATTTACATGTATGAAAATAAATCTGTAATATAAGAACGATGCATTCAACAATAAAACAATTCATCCTAAAGTGCTTTTACGAATGACTTACCTTCATTCTAACTAGAGTAATCTTAGACGATATATATATATATATATGTGTGTGTGTAGGTACGCTTGTTAGATCTATAGAAAGAAAAAGGAAACGAACAGGCGTACTCGTCGCGCTCGATAATAAGATGTTGAAATAGTGTGTACTTGGAATGTGTTGAACGACAGTAACGATCTTTATTTATGTCTTTTATTCGTAAAAGAGAAAAAGATAAAAAAATAGATCTAATGACATCAAGGTGTAAATGTCAGATTTGGTAATCCAAATATAACAGTATTTAGTTGTTGAAGTTGCAAGGTTGGACGTTGAATTTCTTCTTTTGGTTCAATTTCCGATGATACATCGGAATTAACGTTTGTTGGATGTGCTGCTGATGATGATGATTTTTTATTTGTATCTTTTGAAGGTATTGGTTGTTGTTGTTTGTTTTTAGGTGATGGTGAACGATCTTTCTTATTTGTAGAAGCATTTCCCTTATTTTTTGCATCTTTTGATGTTGTCGCTGCTGTTGGATCAATTTCAACTGGACGAAAATATGGATAAACATTTAAACGTAATGCTTGACTCAATGAACAATGAAGTGTCGCAGAGTCTAAAGATAGAAGTAATTATTGAGATTAAAAGAAACCGGAAGTTAAAAACAGAATTATAACCTGTAAAAGTATTGATTAATATATTTTCATTTTCATTTATTGTTGATTTCCATTGATTGAGTAGTATAGATTTAACACCACCTGAACTCCATAAAAGTGCAGTTTCAGTTGATCGATCAAGTTGAATTGAATCATGATCATTATTATTAATTAATCTTAAATAAGTATATATTTAATAATTTATATACGAATATTTTTTTTAATTAATATTTACGAGAGAGGTGTATTAGCAAAACTTGTTGATGTTCGATCAAATGAACATAAAATTGTACAACCTAATTAACCAAAAAGAAAATATAATTAAAAATTTGAATGAAATTTTTTTTCACCATTTTTAGATAAAGTTGGACATTTATAGGGTCCAACTAATTCACTTAATGTATGTGCACCATAATAAACAACACCTTGAGCTTCACTAATAATGCGTTCAAGTTCAACAGTACTAAAGAATAATTTTTAATTAAAAATTCTTGATTATATGTCATAAAATATTCAGGTGAATAAACATAGAAATAACAAAGAGATACCGAAGGGATAAATTAAGAAGAATATATAGGGAGATAGCTAAACTTACGATAAATATTGACTAGAAGGAGGAATAGGTATACTTTTTTGTGATCTGAAATATATATGTTTCATAAGGTTGATATAAATTAAATGGAGTAGATTTTATCTTATAAGAATATATATTAATAATTTTATATTCTTACTTTATTGTTGGTCCGTCTTGTTTTGTTGTTTTCCATTTTGAAAAAAGTTGAGGAAATTTTTGTCGAAGTAAATCAAATGGTGTAGTTGTTTTATTTTCTAAAAACAGAAAAAAAAGAAATTTGTTTTCTTCAATAAAATTAATCTTTCATCAAGTTTACCAGTTGATGATTTAAGTAAAACTGGTTCCATTAGATAATAAGTATTACTTGAATCAATAACTTGTATTTCACTAGTAATTTCACCAGCCTTGAAATAAATTGAATTTATCTTTTATATTATATTTTAAAAGGAATACTTACTTCTTTCGCACCACCTTTCTTGCCTTTGCCATCTGTAAAGAAAAATAAAACAAAATAAAATAAGAGATCATAGATTTTATTTTCGTTTAAAATATGCGTGCTCTTGAAGAAGTAAATGTAGAGATAAAGTATGGATAATGGATTCATCTTTCATCTACTTAAGCTTTGTAGAATGAAAACAAGGTTATTTGTGTCGGAGATCAAAAGGCATTCCTGTCAGTGTTCAAGGTTTCTTATCGATAATCAAGGCATGTTAGTCTTGACCTTTAACTATGGTGTCAACTGATAATATATAAAATTGTTCTTGACATCTTACAGAAATATTTAGTTTTCTTCAAAAATCTTATTCATATTTTTTAGTATTACCAGAAGTATATTGTAATATTGCTCAATATATCTGCTTGTCCACGTAAAATCTTACCTCTGTGGGCGAAGTTTTTACAAGAAAATATATTTATCTCCTGAAGTAGACGACATACATAGTCCAAATTTTTAGCATAAGTTTAACAGTGATATGGTGAATATACATGTGTGTGAAATTGGTCTGGAGTGACTGTTTATAGTGAAGAAATAGACATGCGAAAATGTGCTTCCATCATGACACATATTTCTGCGGCGCAAAGGCAGCTTTAAATATTTTTTCAAGGTTTCTTTTTCTTTAGATACTGTATCATCCAGTCTATCAATCTGCTACAAATCGTGTTTTTTTATCCCTGTTATTAAACATGATGTTCCATTTTGTGTGATTCCGTAACAAGATATATTTTTGATCGTAAAACACAAACAGATTTAATAAACTTAAGAAAAACTCCCATCCTTTTGAAGAGGAATTAGACTAACATAGACTTTGTAAAGGCTTAGTCTTATCGGTTACCGTATGACCGACTTATAGAATTTATATGAGGAAAAAATATGATTCCATCACGCTTGGACACGCCGATATCGAGATTATTTCTTACCATCAACTGGAGCTGTAGTTTCATCAATACCAATAGTTGGATTTAAACGATTATAAACTGATTGAATCGAAAAATCTCTTGAAATACCACCGATTTGAACATGTCGAAATATATCAAGTGATTCAAGTGGTAAATGTGCTAGACGTGGATCAATTAGAAGTATAAGATGATCGGAACTAAGCATTGATCGAGATTCATATTGTTTTTCCGAACTAAATTAATAATGAAAAAAAAAAACAATAAATTATTCATATATTTTGATTTATTTTTTCTTCCTACTCAAGATAATTTGAAAGTAATGATTTAATAGGTGAAAAATATTCATTTAATTCAACAAGTAATTCATCAATAAAACGTTGTCTTAATTCATTTATTGAACTAATATCAACTGGATCAGGCTAGAGAAATAAAAACAACATTGATTATTCATTTATAATTATTATTAAAAATAAAACAAAAGCTATTTATTTATTGCAATAGGAGTGAAAGTTAATGTAAGTGTATATGATATTATAGGAATATATATATATATGTAATAAAAATGGTAGACAAACATTTATCCAACATTTTGGAATTCAAAATGATATATCCAAAATGTGGATAAGATTATAGACAACATTAAAATAACCTGTTGATCATTTATTGATATATTTTCATTATTGGTTAATATAGTTTTTTTAACCTAAAATTAAATTTTTTATAAAAAATCGTGTTTTTTTTGTTCTTTTTGTTTTCTTAAGGAAATATTTTATATGAAAATAAATGGAACTAACTTGTTCGGAATTAAGCATAGCTTGTTTATCTCGACTACGTTGAAGTTTAAGATCATATTGTTGTAAGAGTTGAGAATATTCTTGTTTCCATTGATCAAATTTATTAATAAGATTACTCAATTTTCTTTTATCAACATTTATTTTCATTATTTGAGGAGTAGCAGTGCCACTTGTTGATCCTAAATTATCATAGTATTTCTCTATTAGATTTTTGAAAAAAGAAAATATCAATCTCTTACCTTTCGCATTTCCTTTAGTAGCACCTGTTGTTGTACCTTTTCCAGTTAACATTTTACTATTGAATAATGCTGCATAGAGTACATCACTAAATATTTCAAACAGTTAAATTATTCAGTTGTATTAGAAACAACAAAACAAACCCATTTGATGAATAATGTAATACAAGAAAATTGAATAAAGATGGCATTTCTTTGGTTAATTCATGATATTGTGATCGAATTGTCATATATTTCCATGGCTAAAAAATATCAATAAAATTTTCAGTTATAATAAAAAACTCATATAAAATAATTCTATCCGATCGCGTATGAAATCATATGAAAAATTTTAAGAATTATTTTATACCCAATAGGTTTTTAATCTTTCCATGACAGTTCGATAAACAACACCATTATTTGCATTTGTTATTGTTTCATCTGCTTTTATTCGATTCATCAATGTAAATAATGAAGCAAGTTCAGAATCACTTGGAATAGAACATGCTTGTTTCAATACATTTTTGGTATAAATTGAAGCATTTGCACTCTAATATAAAGTATATAAATAAAATGAGGAAAAAAACGAAATTTAATACATACTTGACTTAATGTTAAATAGATAATACTAGTTATCGGATCAAATTGACCAATTGTATCAGAAATTAATAGACTATTATCACGTATAAGTATTTTATCTTGAACAGCTAAAGAAAGATTTAATGATTGTAATGCGAATTCCATTGATTGAGCAAGATATGACATTGAATGATTTAAGTCCGTCTAAAAGAAGATTTTTTATTTCTAATAAAATGAAAGTTAAGTAGAAATTTCTAAACCTTTTGTCGATTAAATTCAGCTAATAATTCTTCAGGTATCCATTCAGTTTCAGCAGGATTTGTAACTTGATTCATATTACTATTAGTACGTGAATCCATTCGTCTTAATGCTGCTTTATCTGCTGGAAATTCATGTAATTTAGTCAAAATTTCCTATAAAAAGATTTTTTCTCTATTAATTTATTAGAATAGTCATATTAAATAAATATACTTTTATTTTTGTATTCCATTCAAGTGGATAATCTGTGCCAACATTTTGACCAAGAATAGAATATACTTGTGCCAAATAAAATAAGATCTATAGAAAGAAAGAGCTTATATCTATATCTGATATTAGTAATAAAACGAACTTTTGCTTTAGTTGATTTATCATTTGTACCAATGATTTCAAGAACAGCCATCAATGAAGCAATCAATTTATCTGGTAAGATCCTAGATAAAATTCGATTATTTATATATATTGAAAATGAAGAATTTTTTAGTTAATGATTGATATAGGTGAAGATGAAAGTAATAGTTAATGAATAATCTGCACAGTTGCTTATCGAATATTTTGAACGTAAAAATAGATCTCTGTCAATTGAATTGACGATTATTTAAGTCATAATACAGACCAGGCGTCAAGATAATTTTTATGGTCTATAAACTAAATACTAAAGCTAAATATTTTATAGAAAAGACATAATTCTATTAGTAATAAGTATCGACAATCTGTAAACTATACAAGATTTTCTTTACGGGCGGCATTTTATCTTTAAAAAGTAACGCATTTATCTTTACCGAGTACAATTATTTCGAGTCGAATGACTAAGACTTTAGCAGAATAGTTAATTTAAAATCAGTACGTTGGCAATGTATTATCATCTATGTATAATATTCTCTCTGAAATTTGTTCCTTGAATTGGACTACATCAAGTCTATCCCTAATATGACAATAAAAATGATGTGAAATTACTTTATCATTTCATCCCAATTGATAATATCTGAATCTTCACCATTATGTTCTATTTTTTGTCCATCTTTACCAACAAAATCTTGTACAGCCTATTATATTTAATAAATTAATAATGCATTTCTATTTATTATAATCTTACTAAATATGTTGCATGAGTATGTTTTCGTCTTAAACGATCTTTAAACATTTCATTTGCATATATTTTTAATAGATCAAGTAATATTGTAATAATTTCAAGTTGTACACGAACAAATTGTCGTTGAATTGGTAATTGTATTGATATTAGCTATAAAATAAAAGAATTATTTGAAATTTTAGAATAAAAATCTTTGTTTTTTACATCATTATGTGGTGTTACTGTTCGAATTAAATACCATCGTTGAGCAAGTATTTCTGTTAAATGTTCAAGTATATTAAGTGCTCGACATAAATATTTTTTTTGTTCATTTTCATTTGTTGTATCACGAGCAAAACGTCTCCAAATTGGTACTGATCGTGTAAGAACTATTTCACAAGCATCATTATATCGATCAAGATTAAGCATATTAGTAAATGACATATCATATTGTTGTAAAATATCATATAAACGATAGAATACTGATTTATTTTCACTTGTATTTATTGTTGAATCATTTAATATTTCATTCATTTCAACTTCAATTCGTCTATAGAAATTAATCAATATGATGACAGCAGAAAAAATAAAGATTTTTATTATTACTTTGATGTCAAAAGCGAAGCAGTATAAGCAATTGATGTAATTTTATTAATATGTAATTGTACAATTGATTCAAGTCGTTTAACAGCTGTATCAAGTAACGATCGAACCTAATAATATTCAAGCAAACCAGTTAATATTTTCTTCTTTGAAATAATCGATTTCAATCTAACCTTTTTCTGTTTATATGAATCTTGATTTGTATCTTGTCTTAATGTTTCAATAACAGTATTAACTGATCGATACCATTCATATTCATCAATTGGTACTTGCTAAATAAATCAATTTATTTTTTTTGTTTTATTATTTTCGAATTTTTATTTACTTGTCCTTGCATAGCTAAATCAATAGCTTGATCAAAACGATGTTCATGTAATGCAATTTCACCCAACAGTATATAAGCACGTTTTTCACATGTTTGATCATCGTAAGTCTATTTTTCAAAAAAAAAGTTTCCGAATTTCAGGTAAACCAAAAAATTTATTTACTTTAGCTTGAGTGAGAATTTCTTGTAACATTTCTTTTGCTTCTTGTATATAATTTAATTCAAATAATATATTTGCTGTTTGTAACCAAATATTTCTTGTTATTAATTTATTTAATACTTGTCGATCACCTGGTAAATCAGCTATTTTCGATTTTAAATCACTTGCCTATATTTTTATAAATAAATAAATAGAATTTGACAAAATACAAATAATATTTCAATTTATACTTTCATTCTCGATGTTGAAGATGAATAAGCTGATGTTCCATAAGATCGAGTTTCACTTTTAAATACACTACCACTACTACCTACTGTCGCTTTAAGCTGAGCTTCATCTTCACGTTGTTGAACAAGTAAATTTGTATAACTAATCATTTCTGCTCGAGATCTATTCGATATATATATATGAAATAAACATTAATCTATAATATAATAATTAAATTCTTACACAGCTAAATCATCGTCTCGAATAGTAAATGGACGTGCTAATTGACATACAGTTTGCATAGATTCAAGAAGATTAAGTTCTTGACATACTTGTTGTATACTAATTTAAAATGAAAAGATTAATTACAAGAATAAAATGAATAGATTATTTACCAAAGTAAAACATATGTACGAATTGATGAACTTTGTACAAGTGTTTGACCAATAAGTCTCATAAAACTAAGTACAGGTAAACTCATATGATTATAACCATATTCACGTAAAAGACGAACAAACATATCCAAATAATAAAATGATAGTAGCTAAAAGAGAGAGAGAAAGAAGAAAAAAACATTTAATTTTATGAAAAATAAAAATAGTTACGAACCGGTTTTGATATTGTACTTTTATTAAAACCACGTTGGTTTGATTGTGGTAACGTATATGCTTGTAATACTTCATCAGTTGGTATAAAAACTGCCCATTCAGATAAACTTCTTGTTGCTGATGTATCAGATGTATTAGGCTTGATATTCTGCAAATATATAAATAAAGATAAGATTTTTCATAAAAAATCAAAATACTAACTGTTGTTGCTGGTTTATCGACACTTTTCCCAGCTGTAACCGGTTGTGGTTTCTTTTTCGATGCGGAATCTGGTTCTCCTTTTTGTTGTTTTTTTCCTGTATCAGTTCCACCAGCCAATGCTGCAGCAGCAGCCGCTGCCGCAGCTTCAATTTCAACATCTTTAGTAATTTCATTACTATCGGATAAACCACACTAGAAGAAAAATAATCTTTTTGCAATCAATAAATATCTCTCATTTTTGTTTTTTACCTGCCATAATCTCATAAGAAGCCAATAAGTTTGCTGTAATAATTCTGGATATTCAGGTTGATTTCGACGAGTCATATAAGCAAGTAATATATGACATCGACATAAATATTCAAGACGACGAACTTGAACTATATCACCAATTGATAAATCAGGTTGTGCACGATTAGGAGCTAAATATATTATTTTTCTACTTTTTTTCAAATGAAATATACGAAATTTAATTACCTTTAGGTTTAACCGATCCAATATGTGGCTGATCGGAATCATATTCATTTTGTTCTTGACTATTTTGAACTAAAAATGATGATAAATATAATTTTAAACATTAAATTAAATATTCATTACTATCAGTATCTTGTCCATCAACATTATTTAATTCTTGTTGTTGATAAACTTCAGGTGAAGTTAATAATAAATCAATAGTCCAATTAATTAAATCAACAACATTATCCATAAAATATTCATTACTATATAACCAAGTTGCTAATTCTAATATATAATCAATTTTTGCCCAATAATTATCCATACTCTAGAATTATAATCTTAGTTTATAAAAGAATAAAATATTTTATTACTTGTAATGTTGCAATCGCATGTTGATAAGCATTAATAACATGATCTCTTTTTCTTGCCATATTTGCAACTTGTCTCCACATTTTAGCTAAACCTAATTCACCTAATTCACGGAATTTAAGCATGTCGGTACTTATCGATAAACCTAATTTTGATTTAATTAAAACTCGATATTTATATAAAAGTAAACGATGTTGTGTTCGTGGTAAAACTTGTAATGCACTATCAATAACATCTAATGCTGAATGCCATGCATGTCTATCCATATAAATTTGTACGACAACACCGTATAATGCTGAACGAATTTGTGCTTCTTCTTGTGGAGCTAAGGATAAATTTAGTTGTGATGTATCTTCAAGTGCATTAGCTTTTTTATCTTTTCGACTTGTCAATGGTTGTTTTTTTGGTCGAAATTTATGAGCAGGATTTGAAAATTCATCTTTCTAAAGAAATGATAGATGCATTAATTATATGGAGACAAGAAAAATTCGATTTAATATACCGTTGTTTTTTCATTTTGAGTTGAAACAATTGATTTTGGTGCAACTGTATTAATATGATGAATAAGTTCATTTAATGGATCTAATAAAAGTGATCGTTCTAATTTGCGTTTTATTGATAATCGGCATGTATTCCAAAAATGACGTGCTAAATGCATTGTTAATTCATATAGATCAGCTTTTGATGAGTAGCTAAAAAATATTTTTTTTTATTGAAAAAATAGAACTAAGAAAGTTATAAAATTTACCTAGCTGCTTCTACAATAATAGCTAAGACTTCTTTTCGTTCTTGTTTTTGTCCAGTTTGTTGTTTAAGTAAACATTCAGCATATGCACCACATGCACGACTAACATATTCATTTGCTAATGATAATTGAAATCTTTTTTGGATAGGAAAAAAGAAACATGTATTAAAATTGAAGAATCAATCTTGTGAAGAAAACAAATTTACTTCTCAACTTTTCGTGTTTGAAAAATGGTTATTAATTCAAGAGTTTTATCTCGACAATAGAGAGCTGTTTCAGCATCATTTGCACGATTAGCAATTATACCCAAACGAGACCATAATTGTAATTCAATTAATGGATCACTCCATGCACATTGATCAACAAAAGTAGTTGTCTAAATATATACAAATTTTTTTTGTTTTCTTTCATATATTATCATACTATTGATTTTTACCTGTTTAAGATTCATTCCTTCTCTACTATCATTCCAACCACTATCAAGTCGTGAAAGTGCATCAACAGCAATTACAGCTCGTGATAATGTATTTAAACTTGATGTATTTTCCTAATGAAAAATATATTCGAATATAAAATCTTCTTATTATTATTATGTAACATACTTCTTCATCTCCGAGAATAGTCGATACAGATGTTTTAATTGATTGTTGAAGTAATTGTTTAATAGTAACCCATAGCTGTAGAAGTGTTTGACGATCACGAATTGAAACTGAAAGTGGTTTAGCAACTTCTTCATTGGTTTGAGTTATGGCATATTCACATATCTTATATTAAAACAAAATAATTCAATCTAATTTTATGATTTTTCTTTTATGTTTAATGACTTACATCAAGAGCTGTTTTAAAATCTTCATTCTTAACAATTGTTGATGATATTGGAATAGGTGTATTAACTGATGCAGCAAGTTGTTGATCTGCTTTTGTTCCTTTTTTTCCTCCTGATGTACTTTGTTGAGGAATAGAAGGTGTGTCTGCATTTGATGATGATTTAGTATCTTCAGTTGGTAATGACAATGGAGTAATATATGCATTAGCAAGAGATACACACAAATTAACTAATAGAAGAATTTCACTATAAGAAAAAAAATGTTATTTATATCTTTTTTTTGAAAAATTCAAATAAAAAACAAACCGTTCATAACCAACTTTTCTCAATCCATTTACAATTGTCGATAATGGATCAAGAACAAAACGAAAACGATTACTATAGAATAAATGACGTGTATAATTCCATAGATATTCACCAGCACGACAAATAAGCCATGATTCATTAAGTAATTGACCTAAACTAGCTCCAGATGAAAAATGAGCACAAGCACGAACAGATAATAATTGAAGCCATTGACTAAAATTAATAATATACACTAACTATAGAATATATCTTATAAAATTCCTTAATGCTTAGTAAAGAAACTAGTTATAATCATTCGTTAACTTGCTGTTTAATATTCATTGTAAACTAAAAGTATAGTCTATGTCTTCTAACATCTTTTATGAGTAGATATAAATGAATTTGTAAACTATCTATGATTAAATTACCAATAATATTTCCAATCATTATCTGATTCTTGTTGTGCTTGTGCTCGTTGTGCTGCTGGTATTGTTGGCATTGGTGGTCGAACAGGTGTATCAAATAATTCAATACGACGTTCTCGTATAAATTCTATTTCAGCCTATAATAATTCAAAATAATAACAAAAAACAAGTTTTAAATTAGAAATTTATACTTCTCCGGCAATAAAATGTATTTCAGCTAAAATTCGAATCAGATCACGTTGAAATACATTTGGTAATGGTGATTCATCAGTTATATTTAATAATGAACGACGTTGTTCATTATCATATAATAAACAAAAACGTGCTGCTGTTCGACATACATCCCATATTTCTTGTCTACGCGCCATCATTGTTAAATCCGCCCATAATTTCAATCTTTATAAATTACAAAAAAATAAAATAAACAAAAATATTTTTACAAAAAATTTTGTACCGTTTATCTTGATCAGTTTCAGTCATAATACGTTCATAATGACTAATATTTTGTATACATTTTTCATAATGATCGGCAAAACCTTTTAATTGTGCAGTTGGATTTGCACGCATTTTTCCAATAGCTAAAAACATTTTGTATAAAAAAATTCATTTTTTTATTTTATTGATATTAAAATACCATTGGGATTTTCTGAATCAAGAACAACTTGAAATGCATCTGGTGCTAATAATAAACAAGCATCAATGAGTAAAGCACGTTGTTTATTTTTATTTCCACTTATTGTTTTTCCAGCTTGTTCAATTATAATTCCAACACGATCATCAACATTGTCAGGTACTTTATATAATTCACCACGTAAATTAAGTCTTTCTAATGCTAAATTAATACGATCAGAATAAATTGATGTATCATCTAATTGTTTAGCCTATTAAAATTTAATAATTTTAATTCATGAAAATAAAAAAAACGGATGTGTAATTATCGAATTATTTACTTTAAGTAAATTTGTTTTTGCTGAATCGAGTTGTTCAATATCTTCTTCAATTTTTGCTAATTCAAAATGAACTTGACTTCGTAATAACCAATTAAGACTATATAAATATAAGTTATTAGAAGAAAAATAAGATATGTGATAATTTCTAACCAACCTTTGTATACGTTCAAGAATATTAACAAGTGTTGTTAACGGTCTTCGAATTTTATTCCGTAAATTTGTTTGTAATAATGGTAAACATAAATTCCATAAAATAATACAACCTGTTTGAACTAAATCAGATTGACCTGTACGTTGTAAAGATTCAATAGTTTCTTCAGTTAATTCAATAGCTCGAATACGAATCTATGAATAATAGAAATAAACTTTTCATTATGAACTTTTCTCTGGTTAATAAGAAATGTGAATGTTATTCGAATAGATGAATAAAATGTCTTACTTCTACTGAACTTTTGTTATATAATTCTTCATTTTCTCCTAAACTTTTAACCATATATTCTGCTTGCAATAATCGTACTTCTAGAAGATATTCTGGTTCCTTTGAATAGAAGAAAAACAAAATGATTAGTTTTTCAAATCTTTCATTATATATTTATACTTTTAATCGAATATTTCCAAGAGCTTCAAGAATAACTTTTGTTAGATCAGTATAACGAAGTAAAAGTGAAAGACGACCAGTTTCATTTAATAAACGATGCCTATAAGAGATTTTAAAAAAATTAATTGATTAAATTTTTTTGATTAAAATGAAAATGAATTCAATACTTTTCATATGAAGTTAATGTTTTTTCAGGTCGAGCAGTCATATTATCACGTGGAGTTGAATCTTTATTTACTTTATTAACTGCTGCACTACGTAATGGCAATGCAATAATTTTATCATATACTTTTTTTAGTTTTTCATTAATTTCATTTGTTATATTATTTTCAAGAATTTCTCTATACAAAAAAAAGAAAAGAAAATATTTTGTATTATTCTAAAATTACAATTTTATGTTTTACCGATGAATTGATGCTAAATCAATCAGTAATCGTTTGAATAGAGAAGATGGGTCAGTTTTTGGTGCATAAGATAATAGAGTAGTTTTTTCAATAATATTATTCACAGTCTATTTAATAAGAAAGAAACAAATATTATCATTATTTATATATAAAATCTTACTAAAAATTGTAGAACATTTGGAAGAAGTGCAAGTTGTTGTTTTTGACATAATTGTAAAAGTTCAGTACTAATTTCTCGAGCTTTATCTGTATTATCTGCATCCATATAACATCGAACTAAATCACTGAAATAAATCGAATAGATATTTAATTATAAAAATAAATAATACATACAAAAGAAGTTGTGCTTGCCATGAAAAATCTTGTTCATCATTAATATTTTTTAATGTATCAATAACTTGTTGAAAACTATCACATAGATATTTTCGATAACCATCACGAAAGAATGGTCGAACATAATTATAATAAATAACTGATGCATTATAAACAAGAAATTGATATCTTTAATAGAACAAGAAGTTTTTACTTTATTTTACAAACAAAACAATAGAATAATAACCTCGGTGATGCAGAAGCAAATGTAAGACATTTTTGTAAGAATGGTATTGCATTATTTAACGATGCCTAAAATTTAGAATATTTACAAAAATTGTTTATGATCTCACTGTTGTTCCTTACAAAATCTTGAGCTGTTTTCGGCATATATATTCGAAATTGACAAAGATAAGCTCGTCCAACAAATTGACTTTTTACAGGACTTGATGAAAAAAACATTTGAAGACATTCATCAGCTATTGAATTTGCATTTAACTATATATTAATCAATAATAATATTTTTTCTATGTAAGGAAAATTTTAATCTTACATCAAGTGCACTTTCGGCAAGTAATACATAAATATCTTGTCCAATTGTATCTTTACCTTGAACAAGATTAACTTGAAAATTTTGTCGAAGTTTTTGACATGCATCGGATAAAATTTGAACGTCTAAATTTTTAAAATAGAATAAAATAGAAAAAAATAGAAATATGAAAGACCATTTTGTTCAGTGCCAGCGACAACTAGACGACGAATTTGAGCATCCATTTAAACAATTATTGATTACGGAAATGAAAGACTTTTTTTCGTCTTAAACTTTGATGAACAAACTTAGATTGGTTGCAACAATCGACATTTAACGAAATGTAACATTGGAGAATCCTCTCAATTAGTATTAAAGGTTTAGCGACATCTTTTTAAAAATCAAATTTTTGAAATACTGCTATGAGTAAATCGATGTTTCTGTATTTTCTAAAACAATGATCATGAAAACTGCTGAAGATATGAACCGAGATTTCAGGATACAATCTTACATAAAAGCTTGACATTAAAACAGATGAAAAATTAACTTTTAACAATATATATAATTTTCGATTATTTCTCTTGTGTGAATATTATTAGACCTTAGAATTAATATTGAATAATAATGCAATTTTTCATGATGATCTTACGATGATATTAATCATCACATGTAATGAGTTATTTTTTTTATAAAGATGTGTTCTCAGTGTACAACTATTTGTAATCTATTCAAAGTGTCGATACAATTGAGTTTTAGGTTATAAAATATGTGACACTCAATATCTGAATCCATCGAATTATCTTTTTATGCTTTCATTCTTCATATATATATTTATAGACACTTTACATTTATAACCAACATTATTCATATATATATTACCTACTTGAAATTTTCATGTTCGACTTGATCTTTTCCTCCTATTGATTAATAACTAAAACTTTATATGACAAATAATTTTGTCAATATATTGATTCCATTTTTATAGAGTATAGAATGTTTTTGAGACGAGTTTGTGTATTATTAGTTTTCATCAATTATTTTGTGAGTAATTTATTTGATATTTACAGCATACATCTACATTTTAGTATGAACTTTTTACAATCACCAGGTATTTTCTTTTGATAAAACAAGTATTAGAAAAAATGAATGATCTTAAATAGTTTATAATGACTATATCTATTGTATAATATTTAGAACAATATTTATTTGATTCAGATGTATAAAATGTAAATTATATCTCTTAGCAGGTCATAATCTGTATTTGACATTCTTTTATCAATAATAAATCTATAAAAATTGATCGAGAAAACGCACAATATATTCATAAGAATATTTATTTGGAAGTATCGAATGTATATATTTTATTTCTTTTGTCTATACTGTTATGCGGTATTCTAGATCAATAATCAGTTATAAAACTATGAAAGATACTGTACAATAAAATTTTCTGTTATATATATTTATTAGTATTCTCGTATATGGGATCGTTTATCTAGTTACACGATCTGATCATCATAGAAGGAAGACGTTGACTCATACCCACTTACCTCACAGGAAACTAAAAACTGTTAATAGGAGATAAACAATGTAATAGATGTGGTATTATCCCAGCATATGAGTAAGAAATGCCTGAGAAATCATACGAAGAGATGGAATGAAACAAAATCTATATGATGATAGACTAACATAACAATAGGTATGATGTAAAGAGAAGAGGAATATCATAACATATAGAAGAACTTACAGATGTAAAATTTAGTTAGAGCAAAATGCACTTCTTCCTAACATTATACTGTTAACTTTCACAATCAACTGTCGATCACATTTTTATAAGGAGTAAAATATTTATCGAATTATTCACGATATACATATGTTAAGTACTAGTCCTTTTATTTCTTCATTTCTGTTATGAATCTTATACATTCTTCATATACAGACATACTATATCTTCGATTTCTAGGTCAACTATCTGTTTATTCGATAGACATATTCAGTACAAGTCTGTCGTATACAAAGTATCATTTAAGTGCATATTCGATAAACTGAAATGTATAATTATTTACATTCGGCATAGATTATTGAGTAAGATCTTTTCAATAACTTAGAAAATTATCATGATTAACTTTATAAAAATGTATAAAATATCATCTATTATTTTTTCTTTATACTAATCATATAAAAGAAATACTAATTTACATCGCAAGAAAAAAAACTTGTGTTTCATTTAAACAACATATTCTTATCAACATACTTTTATTCTAACTTTAGATAATACTAACGATGGTGGTGTTATTCGAAGATCCACGTCATCTTCCTTTAGGAACATTTCTTATGCAAGTTTTTATCACATTGGTTGTATGTAAGTTTCTTGCTAAACTACTTTCTTTTATTCGACAACCACAAGTTATTGGACAAATTATTGCTGGTATCATTTTTGGTCCATCCGTTCTCGGTTAGTCAACTAAAACAATCTTATATTTTTCATTGGAAAAATAACCTGATTTTTATTTGTTTACTAGGTAATATTCCTGCATGGACAAATGCAATATGGCCAGAAAGCAGTCTACCAACATTTTCACTTATTGCTAATTTGGGTTTAATCTTTTTTATGTTCTTTTTGGGACTTGAACTTGATTTAGATCAAATTAAAAGAAATTGGAAAACTACGATACCTGTTGCTGCTGTCAGTATTATAATTCCTGGTAAATGTTGAGATATAACGTGTCTTTTTAGAATAAAGTATAACAACTATAATACTTTTCATTTTTTGAATATGTTTAGTGGGAATTGGATGTGCAGTTTCACTTTGGCTTTACGAAGACAACGGAGGCTTGAGTACAAGCAAAACAGCTTTTATTCTTTTTATTGGTAATAAATTAAATATATACATACATGTATATACATAATATTTTATGTGTTAGGTTCAGGCTTTGGTTTTTCTGCTTT